ATTTCGGTTGATGGAACTGACATTTACCGAAAAGACACCCTCACTGGTCACAAGAATTACAACTCTTCTCTTAAATTATAATACATTTATTTTACTAGTAGGGTCGGCAGTTTCAATTCATCCTTTTGAAACACTTCTTCCAACTCTGCCTTTGTAAATATCACACTATTTAATTTCTATTGCTTACTTCCGTTTACTTATGTCATGCGTTGTAAATATATATGTGTATGTATGGTTTTAAATATCATTCTGTCTGAGGATGACTTTGAAATAAAGTCGAAAATTTACAGTTCACTTCTCGTCTTGTTTTGATCCATATTTTGCAATCTCAAGATGTCTTGCTTCTTCGGAATTTGTTTTATATTACATATTTTTTGGTCATGGCTTTTTCAGTCAGCATGTGTTTTATTATGTACCAATTTTTTAAAGAGAAAAGTGACAACAATGTAAATATTGACTTTCCTAAAAGAATATATGAGCAAACAACATAAAAATATTATTGTAAAGGCGCTGACCGAGGTCGGTCATATTTCTTACTCTCACGTGACCCGCTCTCGACTGATGAAACAGTAGAAAAAATAAGCACATTTTTAATGATATCCATTGTTTTACCTTTTGTAAAACCAGAATGAGCAATGACAAATCGTGAAAGTCATACTTTTTGCGTTATTGTCCTGCTGTAGTTTGGATTTATTTTGAATGTCTTCAGGGACTGAAACCAGATAACAACATTACCACATTCCTAAACTACAGCATGATGTAACCATAGTGAGTTCAAAAAACACCTTTATCGCTTCCGCTTAATCATAGCAAAATCATGAGCTCTGTTTTCTTTGCGCATGACATTAAAGAGTACTCTCTTTTGGATAAAAATTGGCAATGTGTGAAAGAACATGCCGGTTTAATAAAATAGAAATAACAAATATAATATATTTTAAAGTAATTATTGCACACAATTCAAACAAAAATCTTTACGAATAAAGTTTTCTGTACAGCACAGAAAGGTGGGGTGACAAAACGCCACCCGGAAACAAGTCTAAATGGTACATGCAAAATCGACAGAAGGAAAGGGAAGGAGGGAGGAAGGGTGGATTTTTGATAAATTTCACCTGACGACGGCCACCTGCTAAATGACATGAGATTTGGTTGTGCATTACCTATGAGGCTAACACCTGTGCACGTGAATCACATTATGTGCATGTGAACAAAATGCAAACAGCCTGTTTGCTCTTGCAGCGTCCGCAATTAACCTTGAACTTCATGACCTTAGCAAGCGGAGTGCTTTGAGTAAATAAACTAAATAGTAACAAACTTTCCCAGTAATTTTGTTTATGTTAAGAGTGTGTTCCACCTTCTCTTCGTTTCTCCCTGATTAACATATCTCCTATTTACAATTTAAGATACAAAATAACGCGCGGAAGAAATAAAATTATTATTCGCTTATGCAAATAACTCCTTTGTTGTTCACTCATCGATCACAGGAAAAAGTGAGCAGAGAAGAAAGCGCCAATTTTCACACTAATGGGAAATGCATTCGCATAAAACAGCATTTTTTCACCTAATGAATTAAATCCGGGCAAGTTATAACAGTAAATGATACGAATTGTAAAGATTACTGTATTATATACGTTTTTGTGTGCAAAGTGTATACTTTTGTACATTTTCCTATAGGCAAAGGAAATGTGCAAAAGGAAAAGACATATTATTTATAGCGAGCAAAAAGTTTCTTATGTTATATTTTTCCACAATGGAAAAATAGTTTTCCTAAATAACGAAGTGTTTAAGATCAGCTGTGTAGAAATGGCCAGTTGGTTAATGCCACATATCACACCTCAAAACATTTTGCATTAAAGAAAATTTGGCATACTTGTTCAAACTTCAACCATACTAATCATAATGCTAATTATATCACTTATAACTACTTATAAGTGTTTTGTTATTTTTTAAAATTAACTGATTTATGGAATTGATTGAAAGAAATCAAATATTATAAAACGAAATATACTTGTTTCTTGTGCTTTTTCAATAATGTTTGAGAAAAACTCGTGGGAATAATTAATCATAGCTGAAAGTCATATCTAATACCATATCTCCTACGACTTTCCGTCCGTCTGCGAATGTCATCCGTCCGTAATTTTTTATCCGCAGTTATTATCCGTCCGTCCGTATCCGCGTTTTACCATAACCCTCGCCTTATACATAAGTGCACTCGGAACTATACTATCACCTACATGTCCTCAGTTGCGAAATCAACGTAAGTATAAGCACAAGATTATCCCAACTCTCCGTTATTCTTATGTTTATACCAATGTTTATGTTGCAAGTTAGGATCAGCAGTAAGTGCTGATAATTGAAATTCGTTTCGTGCTGTCGAGTTTATTTCTTGTAATACCTATAATAAGATCTTGTTATTGGCTCTGCTTAAAAGTAATAATTAAACGTAAGTTTGTTCTCTTGAACATTCGTAACCCGTAATGAATATTGCAACTATTCTGATAGTTTTTGTTTTTGACTAAATGACCAGAATATGCCTTATTATTTATAGATATATTTACAATGATAAATTTGTGTTCAAGTTTGCTTTCACCTGTATATGATTGAAAACTGTAATATCTGCGTCGACGTAAGCACAAAAATTAATTAAAAGAGCATAAGCCGAAAAAAATAAAACTACTGCCTTCCCGTAGTAGGAGGTTTACTTTCAATACGTTTTGTCGTTGAACATTACCAATTAAGATTTACAAAATGTCAGTAAAAGCGAGATGACGGTGAAATGGGAGTTTGTGTAAGAATGTAACTGTAAGCAAATGAAAATCTTGGGAAAATCCTGTTACCAAATTTGATTTGACTTAGCAATGATTTTTCATAATTTAAATAGCCAAGGTTTGAGCAAAAATCTTAACACCTGCGTCGACGTAAGCACAAGAAGTAATTAGAAGAGCATAAACCGAAAAAAATAAAACTAAACCAATTCTGAAGCGAAACAAAAACTAAGAGAAATTCTTGCTGTTGATACGTGTGCTTAGGTAGACCAAACAATTTAAAGACAAAAATTTGCATGAGCAATCTCGTGCAATAATTGCTTTGTATTCCTCTTTTCTGCGCCACTGACTTAAGACAATCTTATAATCTGTAAAATCGTCATGTTCACTGAAATCATCTTTCAAAAACTGTTTAAATGCAAGTATCTGTGTGAATGTTTTAGCTATGTAAGTGAAAACATTCAGCACTTATGTATGGCTGTAACAATGTATATTAACGTCATATGCAATCAATTGGTTAAATGTGACATTGTGTCTCAAAAAGCAGTGAAGTGTAGCAAATGATACGTATCAAATACCAGAATAATTGTCTTAAAGGTCATTGTTGATTTGACATTATCAGGCTTTAGTAGAGCTAGCGCTAAGAAGCTGACAAGTTTGCTAAAACGTCAAAGATAATCTGATTAATTTTTATTATAAGCTGCTTTCTTTTCTACATCTGTTCGTCACACTTTAACAATTAACGTAAATCGACTAAATTAAAGAACTACTGCCTTGCCGTAGTAGGAGGTTTACTTTCAATACGTTTTGTCGTTGAACATTTCAAATTAAGATTTACAAAATGTCCGTAAAAGCGAGATGACAGTGAAGTAAGGGTTTGTGTACGAATGTAATTGTAAGCAAATGAAAATCTTGGGAAAATCCTGTTACCAAATTTGATTTGACTAAGCAATGATTTTTAACAATTTAAATAGCCAAGGTTTGGGCGAAAATCGTAACACCTGCGTCGACCAAAGCACAAGAAGTAATTAGAAGAGCAAAAACCGAAAAAAAATAAAACTAAGCCAATTCTGAAGCGAAACAAAAACTAAGAAAAATTCTTGCTGTTGATACGTGTGCTTAGGTAGACCAAACAATTTAAGGACAAAAATTTGCATGAGAAATCTCGTACAATAATTGCTTTGTATTCTTCTTTTGTGCCCCACTGACTTGAGACAATCTTACAATCTGTAAAATCGTCATGTTTGCTGAAATCATTTTGCAAAAACTGCTTAAATGCAAGTGTCTGTGTGAATGTTTTAGCCATGTAAGTGAAAAAATTCAGCACCTATGTATCGCTGTAACAATGTATATTAACGTCATATGCAATCAATTGTTTAAATGTGACATTGTGTCTCAAAAAGCAGCGAAGTGTAGCAAATGACTATGTGTGAAATAACAGAATAGTTGTCTTAAAGGTCATTACTGATTTGAAATTATAAGATGCTTTCTTTTCTACATCCATTGGTCGCACTTTGACATTTATTGCAAATCGACTAAATTAAAGAACTACTGCCTTGCCGTAGTGGGAGGTTTTTTTTCCATACGTTTTGTCGTTGAACATTTCAAATTAAGATTTACAAAATGTCCGTAAAAGCGAGATGACGGTGAAATGGGAGTTTGTGTACGAATGTAATTGTAAGCAAATGAAAATCTTGGGAAAATCCTGTTACTAAATATGATTTGACTGAGCAATGATTTTTAATAATTTAAATAGCCAAGGTTTGAGCAAAAATCTTAACACCTGCGTCGACGTAAGCACAAGAAGTAATTAGAAGAGCATAAACCGAAAAAAATAAAACTAAACCAATTCTGAAGCGAAACAAAAACTAAGAGAAATTCTTGCTGTTGATACGTGTTCTTGGGTAGACCAAACAATTTAAAGACAAAAATTTGCATTGGCAATCTCGTACAATAATTCCTTTGTATTCTTCTTTTGTGCACCACTGACTTAAGACAATCTTACAATCTGTAAAATCGTCATGTTCGCTGAAATCATCATGCAAAAACTGCTTAAATGCAAATGTCTGTGGGAATGTTTTAGCGATGTAAGTGAAAGCATTCAGCACTGATGTATCGCTGTAGCAATGTATAATAACGTCATATGCAATCAATTGGTTAAATGTGACCTTGTGTCTCAAAAAGCAGTGAAGTGTAGCAAATGATTACGCGTAAAATACCAGAAAAGTTGTCTTAAAGGTCATTACTGGTTTGATATCATTAGATTCGGAAGAGCTAGCGCTAAGAACTTGACAAGTTTGCTAAAAATTCAAAGGTAAGCTCGTTAATTTTTTATAAGATGCTTTCTTTCTACATCCATCAGTTGCACTTTGACTATTAACGTAAATGAACTAAATTAAAGAACAGTATACTGCCTTGCCGTAGTAGGTTTAATTTCAATACGCTTTGTTGTAGAACATTTCAAATTAAGATTTGCAAAATTTCCGTAAAAGTGAGATGACTGTGAAGTGGGAGTTTGTGTAAGAATGTAATTGAAAGGGAATGAAAATTTTGGGAAAATCCTGTTAACAAATTTGATTTGACTGAGCAATGATTTTTAATAATTTAAATAAGCTAAAGTTTGAGCGAAAACTGTAACACCTGCATCGGCGTAAGCACAAGAATTAATTAAAAGCGCATAAACCGAAAAAAAGTAAAACTAAACCAATTCTGAAGCGAAACAAAAACTAAAAGAAATTCCTTCTGTTGATACGTGTTTTTGGGTAGACCAAATAATTTAAGCAAATGACTACAATTTGACATTATCAGGCTTCGGTTAAGCTAGCGTTAAGTAGTGGACAAGTTTGCTAAAAAGTCACAGGTAAGCTGGTTAATTTTAGCTATAAGATGCTTTCTTTCTACATCTATTGGTCGCACTTTGACAATTAACTTAAATTAACTAAATAAATGAAGAACATCAAGGTTTGTAAAAATTTTCCGGAAAAAAACACTTCTGGTGAAAGACCAATATCATAGCTAAGTTTATATAGACGGACCAATATCATAGCTTAGTTTCGATGAGCACCACCATGCTCTTGATCTTAATTGAGATTGCTCTATAGTATGAAAAATATTAGGAAAATATAGAAAATCAAAATGAATCATAATCAAAATCAAGATTAAGTATATTTTTCTTGATATAACTGGGCTATCTTTGTCAATTAATAAGTAGGAAATATACGTTTACTTCGTAATCTGTTTGAAAGAGATAAACAGGAAATCCCATCCAAAATAAAAAAGAAATAAAGACATATGCTCAAAAGAAAGACCGTATATTTTAAATTTGATGAAAGATCTGAAGTTTTACTCATCCGAAAATTGATTTATTAAACAAAGTGAATCTAAGTCTAAACTAACATCTACAATAAGCATATACAAAGAGGCAGCACTTCAAAGCACATTATATGCGCATTTGAATGTCATTGTACAAAGAGTGCCTGACGGCACTTCAATTATAGCCCAACATTTCTGGGATGTGTATTGTCCACTAGTACTTTTGATAGAAAAATATAGCACATGCTAAAGAATAAATTAAGACTTTGACATATATCACCATCTACATAATCAAATTATTCCGTTACAGTTTCAGCCATTTGCAAAATATGAAGATGCTGTGCTTCTTGCTTTTTGTTCATGTGTTGTTTTTGACAGGTCAGCAGAAATAATTCAACAACACTAATTGTATACATATTTTTTTATACGAACTAATTGTATACTTAAAAGTACGAATTTCAGCATACACAAAGCCATAGTAGACTTTATAACAATAACGTTATATTTCATGCTATTTGCCTTTATATTTCATCATTACTTTTGTTCATAGGTGTTGAAAGTAGCAATCCAAACTGGTCTTTGCTATCTGGAAGACTTAAACAACTTGATTTAAGTCCGTACAACATTCTTTGGGGTGTGAATAGTGGTCATGCAATTTGGGTACGTAAAGGCAGTGGATGGACCAGAGTCGGTGGTGCATTAAAACATGTTAGTGTTGGAAACGGTGGAGTTTGGGGAGTGAATAAACATGATAATATTTACTTTCGTGAAGGAGTGACATTCAGTTCGCCAGTTGGCACAAGCTGGACTCAAATATCTGGTACGTATAAATCTTAATTTTAATTTATATATTATTTTAACGAAGACAAACGCAAAAGTTACAATAGTATAGCATTTGGGAACATTTACACTTGATACACGAGGAATTTCTATCAAAAAATGCCACTGGTGATCTATATAGACTATAATTTAAGGATTGGGTATTATTATAGTTGTAGTAGAAAGTCGTTTTAAGAAAAGAAGAAAAACAATTTAATCAAATGTTTTGTCGAATAGAAAAGTTAATGTTACTGAATTTGATTACAAAAAGTATACGTTGGCTTTATCCTTCATTTGATGTATTATTTGCGGTGGAGGATTATTTGCATGCAGTTTGAAGAGGATTCTTAAGACGACCACTAGGGACGACGGTGTAAAGCAGAGTTTGCCTTGCCGGATATTGAATTATAATTACATTATGTAGGACGATCGACAATGACTACTTGATATTGTCCAAGTACTTAATTTGAAATACGTTATGTTTGTCACTAGGGATTTCAATGACGCGCTTTCATGACAAATGTAAACAGTAAACACACCATCAAAAATTTCATCTTGTCTGGATATTTTGCCTCGCCAAATCTCACCTACGTTGTTTTTAGTTCTAATGTTAATTTTTTCTTTATTATTCTACATTTTCATCAAGTGTCTTGTCTCGATTAGGCTAAGCCCTCTATAAAATTGGCCGCTACAGGGAAAAAAGCTGAGTTCCCTTTGCCGGATTTTAAAATATAATATATAGGATGATTGACAATGCCTACTTGAAATACCTTAAGTATATTATTATGGTTTCATTGACGCGCTTTCATGGCAAATTTTAACAGTGAACCCACCATCAAAAATTTCATCTTGTTTGGATATTTTGGCAATCCACATTCGACCTAAGTTTTTTTTCACGAGATGAAAACCACACTTCTTAGTTTCATAATTAATTTTCACTTCATTATTCTCCATTTTTATTAAGTGTCTTGTCTCGTTTAGTCTCCGCCTTCCATAAAATTGGCCGCTACAGGGGAAACAAGTCTGCTTCTTTACAGCAACTAGAAAGCGTAGACAGTTTTACAAAACTAGTGGCAAAGCCATCACGATCTTTTACTCCATTAATATAATTTTCAACAAAACTATAATTTATTTCATTGAAAATTCAATTTCATTTATAATTGTCATCCAGTGATTCTACACAAAAATATTTGCATTGTAGAAGACGAAAAAATGAACTGGCTTCGCAACGGTCAGAGACTTGCATCATGTAGTCAGTCAACAAACTTACCACCGCTATTTTCACGAAGAGTATTTGTAATTTTATATTCACTTCTATTTTTACAGCTATCTCTATTTTGGTTTTCAATAGTTCTTTGAAGAAGTATTCAATTTTCATTCACTACGACAAATTCCTTTTTTAAAAGCAATTTTCACTCGTTATAGAGTTAAGTATTTGCGTTAACTTTTATTCAGGAAGACTAATGCAAATTGACTCGGGACCTACAGGAATTGTGTATGGTGTAAATTCTGGGCATAGCATATACTGCAGAACTGGAATCACTACATCCAATCTCAAAGGAACTGGCTGGAAACATGTGTCAGGGGCATTAAAATATGTCAGCTGTGGAAAATTTGGCTGCTGGGGTGTAAACAAGCACAATTATATCTATTTTCGAACGGGAGTAACTCCTTCTAAATGTCAAGGAGATACTTGGAAACGTATTCCAGGATCGCTAAAACAAATTGAGGTCAGCATTTTTTGATAATTGTGATATTTTGGCTTGAATTTTGAAACAAATATTAAAACAAAGCCACTATCCTTTTGTTGTATTGTAATTTTCATGTAAATGATACTGTATAAATTGATATTAAATTCATTCTTTGAAAAATTAGCATTGTTACATATTAGTTTGATTTCAGGAATTTTACTAAATTTACAAGGAAGTGAAATATTGGAATTCAACCCCATAAGTGATATTTAAAAAATTTGCTTACCGAAACTGTACTCTTTTCCATCCGTTAACGTTAGACAAACCGCTTTTTATCTTGTATTCCCTTTGAAATTGATCTTCTTTAATCGAGTTGAATCTTATTTGATCAAACGCATGTATACAAAGTAATTTGTAAAGCTTTATCAGCAATACTTAGTTTTTAGGAATAGGTATGTAAACTTTGAAAAACAATATTGCAACTAACAAGCAACTGCATCAAAACATACCGGAGCAAAATATGATAATACAGGGCTTGCGCATTTTTTTTAAAAGAAATTCAGCTTCTGTTGATACGCATATGTTACCTTCAAACAAAATATAATTTGTATATATTTTGATAATGCCAATTCAATGCCATTTAAAATGAGGAGATCCTGCTCCAAGAAAGAGGGGTGTTCTCCACAATCTCCATACGCTACCCCATCTTTACATACAACACCACTCGCTTGCACTAAAAATATGTACCAACTTTTTATTTATAGGCGACAGCAAGTGGTGCTGTTTACGGTGTGAACATTCACAGAACATTATATGTTCGTGAAGGAATTCGCTCCGTTAATCCTACTGGAACACATTGGAGATCCATTGCTGCTCCCAAGTTTGATCACGTGTCAGCTAGCTTATCTCATGTTTTCGGAATTGATCAAAATGACAAAATCTTTAAGTTTAATGGTAAGTAGAAGTATGCCTTAGTAGGTAGTTTCTTTATCATTAACATAGTAAGATTTTGTGAGAGGGCACTGGTTGCTCATATTTATTTATGCATGTTTTAATCTATTGAGAAAAACGAATTTCAAAAGTCTTGCATATATGAATATGTATGACGCCCTCTCCAATATCGATCTTACAACGCTCTTGTGTTTGAAATTTATAGTAGCAAACTCTTTGCACATTGATGATTTGGTTATGTTAAAATCTATTTTGGTTTGTTACCAAATTCTAAACAATATTTGAAAACGTAAATGTTTCCAAAGGACTAATTAGTAGTAAAAATTGTGAATTGTACGCATGAATTTTGACTAGACTATAATATGTTATGGCTTTCCCGTAATATCATATCAATGGTCTTCCTCCCCGATATTGCATGTACGTATGTACTTTCACTGAGCTGTTTTTGTATGCATTAAACGTATAAAAAATGAAAGGATTTTCCATTATTTATCAATTTATTTTATTCAGTGTGGTCTCATACATCATTGAAAATTTGCGTTGTTTCCGACACTATAACAGGACACTATTAAAGAAACAGAAAACATTTTCCGAGTTTCTATAGAGTTTTAAAACATGCAAGAAAGAGAGAAATGAATACTTTCATAAGCAACTTCAAGTTTTTTCCAAATTTTACAAGTGTTTCTATCATTTAATACGAAAAAGTATTAGATGTCGTATACTTCTATTATATCATAGGCATTTTGTAAACAACATGAAAAGACTAATATACAAATTTTAATAATAAATAGTCTTTATTTTCGTCATTAAAATTTCCCACCGAACCACAAAACCTATCAGTTTATTGCCTAAATAAATTTCTCATGCATTACAGAACAATGGCGTTTGATCGCAGGCTCATTGAAACAGATTGATCACGGTCTTTCTGTTGGTGTGTGGGGTGTGAACGCCATGACAATATTACCGCCTTAAAGAAGATTATTCGTGGACTCAAATTTCTGGAAGCCTAAAACACGTTTCTGTTGGTGCAGCTGGTGTTTGGGGAGTAAATAAACACGATAACATTTATTATAATTTGGGGACATTCTTGAAACAAATCTCAGGAAAGTTGAAACAAATTGATTCTGGTCAGAAGGAATTGTATATGGAGTGAACAGTAACGATAACATTTTATTGTCGTTTAGGTATTTACTTATTATTTTTATAAGTGGCTGATGTTTGCAAAGTTTCTCACAGTACTAATATTTTCTAACATAAGTAGTATGCAGGTACCATATGCAGATAAAAGTTATTCTAACTGTCTCCAATAAACAAGCGCATTTGAGGAAAAGCGCCAGCACTTTATTGAAAATGCATGTTTCTTATTTTTCTAGGAATCTCAATAATAACCTCCAAGGAACAGGATGGAAGCAAGTTCCTGGTGCATTGAAATACGTTAGTTGCGGTGCCTTGGGATGCTGGGGTGTAAATAGACATAATCAAATTTGGTATCGTTCTGGTGTATCAACCAGGGGCGGATCCAGGCTGGTGCAACTGATGCGAGTGCATCAGTCATAAAATTGAATAGTTAATCTTTCACAACATATTATAACACAATCAATACAGGCAAAATGCAAAATATATCAATTGGAACGTTTATAGTTTCTAAATGCTTTAAATACCTAACACTGACAATATATTGACAACAAATGTACATTGATGATTGAGAAATATTGTTAAAAACCTTCGTCGATTGTTTACATGTGAGTATCATTTTGATTACAGCCGCATTATTAAAAAATGCGTCGCTAAATATGGCGTTTTTATGTGTGAAATTTTTGCGAAATTGTTTCATCACTTAGCTACACTGAGCTGAATTTGTATTACTACGTCACGGTGGCTAGATAGTGAATCACTACGTCACGGTGGGGAAAAAGTGCACCAGTTGGTGCAACAGTCCCAGTCTCTTTGGCCGAGTGAACCACCTAAACGTCACGAATTTCATTGTTTTTAGCCTACGTCACGGTGGGAAATCGCTGCTTTGACTGTTTGCTACAACTTTAAAATTTCATTCTGACTGGTGCACTTGAGCCAGCGTTATAAATCTTCAAACCTTCAGTATAATTACATGACTATCGCATTTGGCTTATTTATATCTTGAAGTCATCATGGCTGAAAGTAGGCAATATACGATTTTGGCTCATTGATTCCAAGACAGTTAAACCAGCTATCATCTCATTAATAAAACAATTCTCATCTCGTCATTGCATGCCGTGCATACTTGTACTTATGCTTAATGCTCATGGCTTCTCTTTACGTATTTAGAATATGATGGGAAGGGGCATGGGTGTTTATTCCTGTTGAATTTATTTAAATTTCAAAGCATCCTGACCTGCATTAACCTATTAAATCGAAATTTACTGTATTCTATTTTACAATGTCAATTTTCAAACTCCATGTCAATATTGTTGGCTCAATGAAATTTAGCCAGTAGTATAATGCAAATGCTTTGGATTTATGCCATAACTAGTGTGCACATAATTATGCATGTTGTTGTGCCAAGTTTAGAAAGTGTCATATAACATAAGATCACAAAACATTTTAGTCACAACTATATGTTTGAATTTGGGTATTCCTGCATATTTATATTCCTGCATATTTATATTCTTGAATAAAGTCACTGGTAGAAGTCTCATTACTTCCTGGAGAAATCACCACTGTAATTCTGAACACATGGATATTGTGATTTCAAAGTTACTTAATATACATAAAAATTTAAGAGCTAATAATTTAATATTACATTACTTCAGGATATTTCATAGATATTTAAATATTCCATGTAATATGTTGTAATATTGCTCAATGTGACAGACAGAGGGCACATTTTTCATACATTTTGCTTGTATATAAATACTAACTTTCTGGGCTATGCAATGTGTTGAATGTGAGCTATGCTGGACCAACCATGTTATTCATTAGAGTTTTCATTTTCAAATTGCATGCCTAATGTTGTCAATTCCCTGAAATTAGCAAAGCAAACTGTAATTACATATTATTTCAGCCAAACAATTCCTTATTATTTCTTCCACACAAGCGATAATGACTTTCATATGAAGTTGAAATATTGCTGAATCTTCTCTGTTGCTGTTATAACTGGAATCTTGAGTTTACAAGATGATGTTTTTTTGAGTGTATGCTTCAGTGTGCCAAATTTCTAAATTTACCATAAAACATTATGATCACAAAAGGGTGGGTACACAACAAAGCATTTCATTTACACAGATATGATGTTACTGTGTCTTTACATGATTATTATCTCAAAATTACCCACTATACATAAAAGATATTAGAGCAACAGTTCTATATTGTAATTCTTCTATATTTCATTGTATATTACACCACCATATTTTATTTTGCATATGTGCATATGTGTCCTGATCCTTATGTATAGAAGTCCTCACCATTGCTATTTGATTAAAGCTAGGAGGGCACATAGTATTAGCTATTAGATGCGTTACTTATACTCCCTTGGCTGGTCTCATGAATTTGGTTGGGAAAGTATAGCACTGGCATTACCATGCTTAAGATTCAATTATCTAAGGCAACCCAAAAATTACTTTAAGGCTTGATGAATGTTCCCCTAAAGGCTTTTCTTTATCAACATAGAGTCAATAGTGATTTTATTCAATAGACTTTCTAATTTATTGCTTGTGTAGAACTAGAGGTGATGGTAACTGCGTGAAATTTCTTTGCTATATCTACGTTCTTTTCTGCTCTTGGAGGAGTGATATTATCAATGAAAGAGAATAACATTTATCATTACTTGTTGCCTTCCTTTGGTACGATGATGATTACATCGTGAATTTCTTTGCTATGTCTACGTATTGTTTCCTGCTGTTGGACGAGTGGTATCAAGTGTGATTAATGGTCAAAACTTGTGCTTCATTTGTGAGATATAAAAGGTTTCTTTGCGTTTCACGACAAAAATGTGCCAAGCTTCTACCTTTAAAATCACTCGTGGATTGGAATGATACCTTCCTGATTGTAAGTTTGGCGAAGGTATGAAACGATAAATCAAATAGTAGTAATGAAAATGTTTAAAGGTTAATGGAATTTTAGATTTCATATCATGGAAATTTGCGAAAAGTTTACAAACTAAGTAAAGCCAAGCAATTCTGTTGTCAAAACGCAGGAAATCGCATTTCGACGATCTAAAACATAAAATTTTCCGGGGGGCATCCTCCCAGACCCCCCTACAGAGCTAGCGCCTTTGGCGCTCGCAGTGGTGCATCAGTCACGAAAATTGCTGGATCCGCCCCTGGTATCAACACAGAATTGTGCTGGAACACGTTGGACTCGTATCGGAGGAAGCCTTAAGCAAATCGAGGTTTGTAATCACTGCATTTCTCATGATATGTGAAACAGCATGCTGCATGCAGCTTTTCCTGCTAAAGGCATTTTGTCTTATTGTATGAAATATTTTTTGTCACGACAAGACATTTGCTTTTGGTGTTTTTTTTTTCTTAATAAAAACTTATGTTAGGCTAAAAGTGGCAATTCTTAACGCCTTTAAATAAAATATATCGCAAGATTGTAATGAACTTTCTTTCAACAATAATGTTAGTATGTTGAGCTATTTTAATTTTATGTCATGTAATTTAGATTATTTGCTTTCTGTCTTTGACAAGAATATATGTAAAGAACGAATACATTAGCAAATTAAATAACTAACATTTCAGTCTTCAATTTACTTAAAGGAAAAGTAATATTAAGAAGGAAGCATGCAAACTTTTATTTTGAAAGAAAAGTTAAAACTGTCCTATCTTTAACGCATTGTACTGTGATTAGCTTTCATTAAGACACATTCTGTTTTCTTTTTATTGCATTCTCCTTCTAATGAGGTAGTATTCAATTGTTTATAACCAATGTGGGCTTGGTAGCTCAACAGGTAGAGGGGCGGACTACTATCCCGAAGGTGCGAGTTCAAATCTCGAGTTCAAGTCGCATGTTTTTCATGTGCATATTAAAACCTTGTTAGGATTAATATATTATAACCACTACGGTTCCTATAAAGTTAATATTTCCTATCTTTAGTGAAGAAGTTTAAAAATATTCTTTTTAAGGCTGGAGAAGTTGGTGATGTATATGGAGTAAATAGTAACAACGTGGTCTACCGTCGAACTGGTATAACTACGGCATCTCCAATGGGCTCAGGTTGGGAAGTTGCTTTGTCGTATGCTTCATTCGTGACCACTGGCCTGAATAATAAGTATGTTTTGATAAATGGAGCAATTTTTGAATCCAAAGGTATGTGTATAATACTTGATAAATTACGAGGCGTATTTTCAATTAATAAGCCATCGATAACCGAGCGCGAGGTCGGAAAAGTATCGGACCGAGGTCTTTTTTGTAAAGAGTTTGGTCTGTACAAAAAGACAGAGGTCAGATATTTCTCAGTAAGACCGAGAAAGTGAGGTTGTTAGAATGTTTATTACATGGCATTATTTAACCTGGAACGAAGCTTGCTTTCTTTCTCGTCTTGGCTGTTTTCTACGGGTTGACATTCACTTTTCTAGTTTTTGTCAGTAAAAATTTAACGGTTTCCAATTGTATCGTTTTTTTGACTTACATTTGGTTTTCCGTTTTGCTGTTTGAAAACTACGCGATTTGGACCTTGGTCCATTACGGAAGATTATGGACCAGTTAAAATGTTTCAATCAACTGAGCCTAGAAAATAATGTATTTCATAGTTTGCTTTTTTTTACCTTACTTTGAAAATTTAAAACTTAACTATGTTTTTTTATAGCTTGTCGAAAGCAATTTCCTTGAAAATTCAGCAAAATTCAACAGTAACATGATGAAAGAAAAATGATTAACATTTTCCAAATCTAGCGTAGTTGTTCTATTTGTTTCTTGATAGTTTGTATGAGTGCTATGTAGCGTAAAAATAAAAAGTACGTTTTTGTTATAATAAAAACCGTATCGCAAAAAGGCTTGCTCTTCTTGAACTTTTTTATTTTACAGTGAAAAACATATGACGTACAGCTCCTTTCTCATTAACCCTCCCCTCTCCTCATTATTTCTTATTGTCATAATAAGTTGAGATGTGCATTGGTTTTATATATTCTAACACTTAAAGGATTCAATCCTACTTGCCGTTATTTGCAGTGGAATGAGTGACATTAAAATGCTTATAATGCGTGCCATATAATTTTAAAATTTGAAAGGGAGCGATCAATTTATAATGAAAGAAATTTGTTGCTTTTTTCAAGATATTAGAATGCTTTGCAAAACGACTGCACATGGCGTCAGTGGATTTTGACTTAGATTGCATATGCCATCTTCGAGTCTTTGTTTTCCTATCTCCTTTGAATGAATTATGACATGGGTTTCATAATAAGCAAATATGTATTATAACTGCAGTTGGAAACGTTCCCAATAAACAACATAAATGCACAAGTAAAATGTAGTTTATGTTCAATTTTTACGTTTTATACATTAAGTATTGTTTGAAAAGCTTGACAACGGCTCTTTTAAATCTGACTGTACGAAACACGTAGAATATTGGGTTGAAACAACTATTGAGAGCTGAAAAAGTGTAAATTCTCGATCGATTTGTCATTTGTTGGCTGTTATGGGCACCTTTCAGTAATGATGCGTATGCAATGTAAGTAACAACTGGAAAGAACGTCATAAGATAAAAATACACGAGGATAAACGTAGTCAATGTTATCTTCAGCATAACGTGATATTTCAGTCGAGCGCAACTTGACGCTGTTTGACTTCTCCAAAACCGTTTTCCTTGCTTGTATGAAGAACAAAATATAGGCACATAGGTTAATGTTATCAAAATCATCAGTACTAAATGAATAGAAACCCAGAATATCAACCAAAGATGATATTGTTTACAAATATACGCAAATGTGTTAATTATTCCTATACCCAGAACTACAAACCAGCACGCGATGACCATTTTCAAAACTGTCTTCTTTACAATCATAGTTTTGTATTTCAATGGTAACATTAAAGCCAAATAACGATCCAAAGCAATAAGAAAAATAAATAATCCACTGCTTAATTGAACGAAAGTATTAAGACTTTCGTAATAAAAATAATAGTCATCCTGTATGCGACCGGACTGAATGGTTATTGTCAAACAAGTTTGGAAAGTTGCTAAATATATAAAATCTGTGATAGCCAGGTTTAAAATGAGAACATCATTTGGATATCTTCTAAGTTCGTAAACAAGCAAAAAAGTTGCGACAACAAGCATATTGAAAAATCCACCGATGATGATATGAAGATAATTAAACATTAGGAGAATAAGTCTCTCTTCTTTAGCCATGATCAGTTCATATTTTTCTGAACTTTCATTATCGTAGGAGCTCATTTTTTATTTACTGATGGTTCACAAACAATTTTTTCATAAATAGTTTATATGTTTTCTTTATGTCTACAAGCCAGCTACTTCGACGCTGGCAATTATAAAATACAACACTTGATAATTTATTCAAAATTTGTGAATAATAATATCAATAAGGCGTTATGCCCTAATTGGCAGTAGTTACTACGTATATTGCCTGCTTATCAACATAGCTAATATGCACTTGCTGAATGCACATGATGTATTTTCTCTAAATCAGGGGATAACATCTCGGAAAAAAGTGGGAGAAAGTTTTCTAGTGTTTGGTTTAACAGAAAAGACAACAATTTTAGCAGGACCAATATTTTTGTTCTCTCTCAGTTTTTAGACAAACTTCACTTTATTTTTTACTAAATCTGTATGAAACTCACCCATTCCCACTCCCCTTCACTACACCTCGCACAGTCTAAGTGTTGTCTCAAGCTGAAACTTTCATGTACGGTTTAAATATTTGTTTGAATGAAAACCAAAATAGTTGGAAAGAAATATGTCATAAAATCTGATTGACTGTTTGCAAAAGTAAGTTGCTTTCAAATGATTTAAAATAGTTTTGGCTTTAACAATACCTTTATTAGCGTCAGGTAAATAACTTCTTCAGTTAGAGAAACTGGTTTTAAGAACATTTGAAATATACTTGACTGATTGAAAGTTTTATCTAACTGTGTTTGTTGGGCTTAGAAGTACAAGAAATGAAGTACATTGAAGAGCACGCTTGCTTCGTAAGTGTAAACACAGTATACTATTATCGCAATTCAATTGGAAATAGCGTTCGAATTGTTCTACTTTTTAAAATGTTCATTATTTACTATACTCCTGTGTTATAAAAGCCTTGTCTTTATTTTATGTGTTCTTTAATGTACCTCACTTCCGGTGCTGAGTTATCAACATCAAGGCCAAAAGGCCCACGACACAATATAGGAATATACAGTAGGGCCACTTTGCTGTGCAACAGGCTGCTGTATATTTAATAAGTTTACTGGCTGTCGTTTGCCATATCGTCAATTCTATTGGTCACACAATACAATTTACTGGCTGCCAATTTGGTAATCACATGCGTAATAAGATATGCGTGGCCCGAAAATATTTAATGGAGTAGCCCTACTGTATATTGTTTATAATGTGCCCACGACGATACCAATTTCGTTCGATAAAAGATATTGAGAATGTTTTTAAAGTTGATTTAACTATGTAAAAAGTCATTTTCCTTTTTGTTTTTCCTTTTTTCTTTTTTCTTTTTCCTTTTGTCTTTTTTCTTTTATTTGACTTTGATAAATATTTAACAATACATTTGGTGAGGATAGACACGATATTCAAAGGCAAAGAAGTAAAAACTGTCTTCTACATTTTATGTTTGTCGTTTTTAAGCGTTATTGAAGCTTTGGTGGAAATTAGATTCAAAACAGCATGTTTCACGATATTTTGCCACGAGTTATGTTTCTCTTTGAACGTGCACATAGTGCAAGTCATTACACATTGTATACACTTTGACAAACCATTTCAAATTTCAATTAGCAACATCATAGAAAACGCGATTTGATCTTTCCGATTAGTCTTAACTGATAAATTTACTTAATGTAGAAGGCGTTATTTAAAATTGATCATTTATACATACATTCCATTTTATGTTTTTGATATAATATAAGTATGGCAGCCTCGTAAAGACTATAGCATATTTTGAATTGTCAATAATTTGTAGTTATTCCGAACGGATTAGAACGGATTTTGAATCTAATATTCATCAGTTCAATCTTGATAAAGCTATTAACGACAAGGCACTAAAACTTTTACTTGACGAGAACCGATACGTAACTGCACACGACATCCTGGACGAGCAGAAACAGATGATTGTATTAAATGCTCGAAGACATTTCATTGATAAAATTCTAGTGAGAGAATCATTTTCAATTCTAGCTGACGAATCATCAGACGTATCTAAGAAAGAACAGTTGTCCTTCTCCGTAAGGACCTGTGATGATAATTACGAAGTATCAGAAGATTTTGTTGGAATTTATGAATGTTTGCAAGGACTTTCATCTGATGCATTACAGCACTACACCAAAGATATCCTTCTCAGATGTGGTATGGAAGGTCACAAAATGGCAGCTATGAGCTTTGATTGGGCTTCAACAATAAAATCCCCCGCAAGAAAGATATTGCACCAAACGCAATTTATGTTCATTGTTTCAGTCACTGCAATGAACTTATTATACAGGATGCAGCTAAGCAATATAATTTATTGTCTACATCACTGGATCTATGCCAATTCCTGTATGCAATCGTAGGTGACAATACAAAACGTATTTTATTGTTCGAAGAAATACAGGCAGATTTTAGAAACGAAACAAGAACAAACGATTACAAAGATCTACGACTCCAAAGTCTTTCTACAACGAGATGGACAACAAGAGTAAAGGATGCTGACGTCATCTTCAAGAAATCAGCTGAACTACATGCAACCCTTGAAAAATTGCAGGAAGATCCTAGCATTTCGACAGACACAAAAGCAAAGATTAGAGGAATATTAAGGCGACAACTGTCTTCCTTAATCGTCATCTTTAATTTAAACGAGACAAGAAAGCTATTGGCTTTACACGAGAAGCTTTCTAAAGAGCTCCAAACGGTTGATATTTCAGCTGAGTACGCTCTATTTTCAATAAGACATGTCCTGCAACGTCTTCATGAAATGAGAAGCGAAGAAGAGTTTGAGCGTACACTTGATGACGCTAAGAAAGTTTTTCGTGTTATGATGTCGTTTCCACTGGAATTTAGGGAAAATTTTGGCACTGGCACTAGACTAACAAAAGTTCCAAGATGGATGAATAATGAAGAAATGTTAATAGCAGAAAGCCTCACGTCACAGATGCCTAAGTTAAGAACAGTGCAAATATAACACCAATGCGAAGCTCGTACTACCAAGCCATTGATGCAATCATCTCAGGTCTAGGATCGCGATTTGAACAAGACGATCTTTTCCAGATCAAATGTATCGAGAAACTGTTACTTAACTCTATGAAAGAAAGAGGAGTATCTTTAGATGGATTAAGCAATTCTTTGATTGATAAAGATGCTCTAAGAAAGCAGCTTGATGATCTTCCCACCATTCTTGGGCTTTACAACGCGGATCAGAAGAAAAAAATAACAGAAGTCACGCGTATTTCAACAATAGCAGAAATATTCAATGCCATGCCGTTAGCAAAGAAAAGTTGCTCTGAGATCCACAAACTAATTATACTATACTACACAGTGCCGCTCTTATCTGCCTCGTGCGAACGCACATTCAGCGTAATGCGTCGTCTCAAAACATGGCTGCGGTCAAACACTGAAGGAAATCATCTGAATGATATTATGTTCTCCAACATTCAGAAGCAACACATGGATATGGTGGAAATAGACGTAATTGCCAAAGAGTTTTCACAGAAGAATGAAAAAAGAATTAAATATTTTGGAAAATACAATACATGACAAATTGTAAATTAGTTGCGTTACATCGTTTAATAGTTATATTATCGTTAATATTTATCGACCAACACTGCGGACATGTGCTTCTGTACAGTGTATTGCATGTAGC